GGAGTAGAGCGACATCCTCAGTAACCCTCCACTTTTTTTTTTTATACTAGAGATTGAACCCAGAGGCGCTTAACCACTGAGCTACATCCTCACCCCTTTTTATTTTGTATTTAGAGATAAGGTCTTGCTAAATTGCTTAGCGCCTCACTTTTGCTGAGGCCAACTTTGAACTTGTAATTCTCCTGTTTCAGCCTCCCAAGCCTCTGGGATTACAGGTATGCACCACCATGCCTGGCCTCAGTTCCCATTTATTTATTTATTTATTTGGTACAGGGGATTGAACTCAGGAGTACTCAACCACTGAGTCACATCCCCAGCCCTATTTGTATTTTATTTAGAGACAGGATTTCACATAGTTGCTTTATACCTCACTGTTGCTGAGGGTGGCTTTGAACTTGTGATCCTCCTGCCTCAGCCTCTGGAACTGCTGGGATTACAGGTATGTGCACCACCATGCTCGGTTTTATTTTTATTTTGAAAGAGGGTTTCAGTAAGTTGCTTTGTTGTTGTTGTAGAAGGACAGAGTACCTTTATTTTGTTTATTTTTATGTGGTGCTAAGGATCAAACCCAGTGCCTCACACATGCCAGGCAAATGCTCTACCACTGAGCTACAGCCCCAATCCCAAGCAAGTTGCTTTTGATCCTCTTGCCTTAGCCTCCCAAGTTTCTGGCATGCACCACAGCATCCCCTTTCCTTCTAGTTTTATCTCTAAATATATTCTGTTAAACTTTATAAAACATACAAATGGGAAAACAAACCAAAAATACAATTGTAGAAATTTAGAAAACAAATGCCGCTTGAACTCTACTAGAAATGACCACTATTGTTGGGAGGCTGGCACCTGGGAGGCTGAGGCAGGAGGATTGTAAATTTGAGGCCAGACTGAGCCTGAGAAACATAGTGAGAGCCTGTCTCAAATAGAATAAAATGGGCTGGGAATGCAGCTCAGTGGTTGAGCAGGTGCTTAGCATGTGTGAGTCCCTGACTGAACTCAATAAACAGCAAAAAATAAAAATGTGTCAGTCTTCTTTTTGTGTGTGTGTGTGTGGTACTGGGGATTGAACCCAGGAGTACTCTATAACTGAGCTATACCCTCAGCCTTCTTAAGCTTTATTTTAAGATAGGATCTCACTAAATTGCCCAGGCTAGCCTCAAACTTATAATCCTCCTGCCTCAGTCTTCCAAGTCACTGGGATTACAGGTATGTGCCCCCCACGCCCAGCTGAGTTAGTTTTTTTTTTTTTAAAGAGAGAGAGAGAGAGAGAATTTTTTTTTAATATTTATTTTTTAGTTCTCGGCGGACACAACATCTTTGTTTGTATGTGGTGCTGAGGATTGAACCCGGGCCGCACGCATGCCAGGCGAGCGCGCTGCCGCTTGAGCCACATCCCCAGCCCCTGAGTTAGTTTTATTGTATCAGCTTGGCAAGACTGTGTAGGAACACCTGGAATAGGAATATCCATCTCTGCTGGAAACTCTCCTCCCCTTTTCTTCTTCTCTAACACGACCACCAATTTTATTATTTATTTATTTATCTATTTTTTTTGTGGTGCTGGGGATTGAACCCAGAGCCTTGTGCATGCGAGGCAAGCACTCTACCAACTGAGCTATATCCCCAGCCCCACCACCAATTATTGAGCCTTTACTTTGTCCCTGGGCACTGTCCTTCCCACTTCATACATGCCCTATTATTTAATTCTCACAAGAATCCTACAGAGTTGGTGATCTCATCATCCTCATTTTACAGATGAGGAAACTGAGACTTAGAGAGGTAAATATAGCTGATAAGTGGTTCAGCTGAGATTAGAATTAGGTCATATGACTTCCTTTGCATTAATTTGCATATTCAAACTCTCCTTTTCTTTAGTACCAGGAATTGAACCCAGGGGCACTCATCCACTGAGCCACATCCCCAGTTCTTTCTTATTTTTTATTTTGAGACAGGGTCTCACTAAATTGCTTAGAGCCTTGCTAAATTGCTGAGGCTGACTTCAAACTCATGGTCCTCCTGCTTCAGCCTCCTGAGCTGCTGGGATTACAGGCATGTGCCACCATGCCAAGTTCAAATGCTCCTTTTTCAGGTTGAAAAAGTGGGATTCCGAAAAGGGTTGTGATATGCCAAAAGTCAAGGAAAGAGCCCAGCTTAAATTACTAGATTTTTCCACTATACTCCATCCTGTGGTCTCAGGGTGACAATCTAAGGACTTGAGGCTGTAGGAACTCCAAAACACTGCCTTAGAAAACTTCCCAAGAGGGCTGGAGCTGTAGCTCAATGGTAGAGAGCTCATCTAGCATGCATGAGGCACTGGGTTCGATCCTCAGCCCCACATAAAAATAAACAAATAAAAATAAAGGCATCTGTCCATCTACAACCACAAAGAAAAAAACTTCCCATGGGGCTTTTGAGTTCCAACAAAACTCAAAGCTTCTCAGAATTACACCCCCAGTTTTGCATCTCCCCTCCAGGGCTGGGCGCTGCCTGTCCATCACCAAAAAAAAAAAAAAAAAAAAGGAAATAGTAGTTAGGGATCACATGCCCAGACAGGGAGGAAATCTGGCAGCCCCAGCACGTGTTCAGCCATGGCTGTTCCATTGTTGGGAGAATGGAGCACTAAGAGGAGCAGAGGAAAATGCCTGAGAAGGAGAGTACTTAGGAACAGAATTGCAAAAATAAATAGGAGAGAAAAAGTTGGTACCTGGATGAACTAAATTGGGAATGGATTGATTCCCACAAGTGAAAGAGGACTAACTGCCTTGGCACAGTTCCTACTGCAAAGAATTGTGCATTATATATGCATAAGCCTTCTGCAGCGGGGAGAGGAAGGCTCACCACTTCACCCCAGGCCACAGAGCTGAAAGACTGGGATTCTGCCACTGCCTCTGAGGTCTCCCTCAGTTCTACATTGTCCCATCATCTCTTGGCTGTAAGTCAGAGCCCCAGGAAGTGAAGATCTAGATCTATCTTCTTCACAAGGGGCTGAGTCATGCTCCCTATGGATGTTGACCCAGATGCTCTTACATCAAGGATAGAGAATAAACTATTATGATGGAAAATTCCAGGAAGACCAGGATACTAAGTATCCATCCATCTATCCATCTATCCATCCATCCATCCAGGTATTCATTCATCTGAGACTCCAACTGTCTGTCCATCCATTTGTCCATCTACTTCATCCATCCGTTCATCCTCTGTCGGTTCATTGATTCATAGGTGTCCATCATCCATGCTAACACTAACTACTCAACACAGAGGTCCGCTAGTTAAGACTGAATTCTTTCATTCATTCATTTCATCCTTCTTTTTTTCTTTTTAGAGACAGGGTCTGACTATGTTGTTTAGGCTGGCCTTGAGCTCTTGGGCTCAAGTGATCCTCCTGCCTCAGTCCCCCATGTAGCTGAGACTATAGGCATGTGCTGTTGTACCCAACTAAGACTATGAGTGAGTTCTTTTTTTGGTACCAGGGATTAAACCCAGGTGTGCTTATCCACTGAGCAATATCCCCAGGCCTTTTAAAATATTTTGTTTGGAGACAGGATCTCCCTGAGTTTCTTAGAGCCACTCTAAGTTGCTGAGGGGCTTTGAACTTGTGATCTTCCTGCCTCAGCCTCTCAAGCCACTGGATTACAGGTATACACCCCAGCAAGACTGGAAGTTCTGAAATCAGACTTCGTGAGTTAGAAACCTGGCACAGCACATATAAGCTGTGTGATCAATAGCAAATTGCCTAGGCTTTCTGTGTCTTAGTTTCCTCATCTATAAAATGTAGATAATTATATCTACATATAAGGTGGTTGTCATCATAGGGTGGTTGTCATCATTAAACGAGTTAATCCATGTTAAGCACTTAGAACTGGTTCATGTCTATTGAACAAATGCTTGTTAATGTTAGCATCACTTATTATTAGTCAAGGATGTACTCAGTGGGATCCTGAGGTTTGAACAAAGTGCCATGGACTATAGAAGCAAGACCAAAGCACTAAGTTTGAGGGCTAAATCTGGGAAAGTTGAGACTCTGTTTTCAGAGACTCTTTTGGAGTCCAACAAGGAGAGAATGGACCCCTCTGCCAGATATGGTCTGAGAGGTCCAGCCCGATTCCTGATTAGGTCAGGCATGAATTTCCCGGGACACTGGAAGTGTCAGTTGCTGACTGCTCACCTGGGATCCCTGATTGAGGAGAGTCATCTCACCAAGGTTACAGTCCCTTCTCAGTATACTCGTATCCTTAAACTGGTCGGCAGGTTTAAGTGCCAAGCCCTCTCATCCCAACTCAGGACAACTCTGATAGACCATCTCAGCTTCAAACTATGGGGTTGGCTGAGGCTTCCACTGAGTTGATCCTTCCACTGCATTACAGCCCCCCTTTACCCAACCCTGCTTCCCTCCCTTTCTTTCCACGAGTGTCAATACCAAGAGCACTGTTATGGTTAAGATAGGAGGTGTCCCCCAAACCGCACATGTGAGACAATGCAAGAAAGTTTAGAGGTGAAGTGATGGGTTTATGAAGACCTTCACCTGATCAGTGCATTAATGTCCTGGGATTAACTGGGTGGTCACTGCGGGCAGTAGGAAGTGGATGGAGGAGGTGGGTCACTGAGGGTGTGCCTTTATGGTTTACATTTTGTTGGTTTATATTTTCTCTCTTTCTTGGCTTCTTGGTGGCCATGTCCTGAACTACTTTCCTCCACCACATTCTTCTGCCATGATGACCTACTTCACCTTAGGCCCAGAACAATGGAGTTGGCTGTCTACGGACTGAGACCTGTGAAACTGTGAGCCCCAAATCAACTTTTCCTCCTCTAAAATTGTCCTTATCAGGTCTTTTGGTCACTGCAATGAAAAAATCTAACTAAAACAGGCACCTCTTAATAAAATTCTGCACCCCAAACTCTATCTTTGAGTCTGTTTCCCAGAAGAGCTGGCCTGTTAGATAAAAGTCACAGCATCCTTTAAAGGTGGCTTACTGTGTGCTACATCTACACAAAATTCTTTTTTTTTTTTTAATATAGAACACTTCACGAATTTGCATGTCATCCTTGTGCAGGGGCCGTGCTAATCTTCTCTGTATCATTTCAATTTTAGTATAAGTGCTGCCGAAGCGAGCACCAAAATTCTTAACAACAATGCAAGGGGGTATTATGATCCCACTGGCAGATAAGGAAACTGAGGCACAGAAAGGTGAGAGAACTTGCCCAGAGACATAGCTGTTCTGTGGGAGAACCAGAACCAGCAGCTAAGGATAGGGCCTGTGTACTTGATCCATCCACTACTCTGCCTAATGGGTTCCGACCAAGTCCAGGAATTAATTTAATTCAGGGAGGGTGAGTGTATCAGGGCATGAGTGGGGGATGCAGGTACTGGTGAAGTCACACATCTGTCTACATGTCCTCATGTGCTCACTGTGAACCTGGCTGCAGGGGTGCATGCACATCTTAGCCTGTGCTCTGCGGCATGTGGGATGTATGTGCCTATGGATCCCCCTGTTCCCAGTTCCCACAGGACCCATGTCCCTGGCTTCTCTACTTCCCCTTAATCCACAGGGGGCATGAATGGCCAGGAGGAGCCAGGTTTTGGATTCCAAAGCCAACCTGCCATTTCCTTATTCCTAACAGGTCTCCCAAAAGTGCTAGGGCCTGGACTCTAGTGACATCAAGCTCTCTGTTGACTAGAGACGGCAGGAGTAGAGTTGGGATGTGGAGCAGGAAAGTCAGCACACTGTATGACTTCCTCTGGGAGAGAGCAACCCTAGCCGCTGGCCTGTGTGGCCTCCCATGTGGGTGGCTGATATCTCCTACCATAGTGGGGGACATATGGTTATGATTAAGGGAAAGCTACGGAGTGAAACTGTTGATTTCAAATCCTGGCTTTGTCTCTTAGCTGTGTGATTTCAGCAACTGACTTATCCTCTCTGATCCTCTGCTTTATCCCCTGTAAAGTAGAGATATTATAGCAGCAGTAACTTTGAAGGGGTCATGGTAAGGCTAAGTACAACTAGAAATAATTGTAAGCCCATATTAGGTACCCAATAAATGTTAGTTTTCTTATTATTTTGAACCCAAACCAGACAAGTAAAGGACAAAGAAAAGCATTTTTCCAGAGAAAAGTTCTTTCATCAAGTCACTACATGATCCTGCCTTGTGAAGCCCGTACTATCATGTCCATTTTATAGATGAAAACTGAGGCTCAGCAAGGTGAGGTAACTTGCCCCAGGTCACACAGCAAGTGAATGATAAAACCACATTTTTTTTTCTTTTTAAATTACAGTCAGTTGTTTCTAGTGGGTCTCTCTTTAGTTAAAGGAATCAGATAATCTTTTCCCATATTATTTTTACAGATGCATTATAGTTGTATACAATGTTGGGATTTGTTTTTCCATATTCTACATGCACACAATTTGGCCAATATCACTCCCCAGTAAAAACCAGACTTCAAACACGGATCTGACTCCAATTTCAGTGTTCTTCCTACCACCTAACAGCTACCTTGTTGTTTGGTCTAGAAACTTCCGGGTTGTGGCAACTTGTCTTGTAAACTCTAGCCTATGCAAATAGGTGCTGCCTGTATGATTGTCGCTCCTGCTGCCTCTATAAAAGAATACATGAGAGAATACGTGGGGATTTGCAGGTGATCAGATTTTAGGGGGGGAAAACAGACACTCTTCTTTATGCAGAAAGAAATGCAAGTGAGACAGCAAATGTAATTGAGCAGGGAGCACTTACAGGAAAATAGGAGGTTCAAAAGGCAATTGATGCCTCTGTTTGCAACTGTAAACAGATAGTTACCAGCTCTGACACCAGCGACAGACAGACAAAGGGCAGACAGAAACAGTGCACCACAAGGAAGCTAGGCACAGACTACGCCCAGGGTGGAAATTAAATGTTTTCCTGAAAGCAGAAAAGAAAACCCTGGTTAAAACCAAGCCGTGACTCTGAGTCTGAGACTCCACGGCAGTGGAGGTTGAATGAGTAAAGGCCCTTAATTTGTACCTAGGTGTTGTGAATCTTAAAGTCTTACTCGACATTTTCTCTTGACCTAAGTTTGTAAAACAAAAGTAATAATTAGAAGTGAGTCTCCAACATGCGCTGTCATTTTAATTAAAGATAGACAGGATACATATATTTTATATTCCTATGTCTATCTATAAAGAGAGAGGAAAAGAGAAAGTGCACCTTATTGACATGTTCAGTCAGAACATTTGGTTGTCAGTGACTGAAAACTCAAATAGATGAAGCAAAAAAAAAAAAATCATAGTAATAATCATTATTCCTCACTGACTCACAATAAGATTCATGAGTTCAAAGACTTCAGTTAATGTCCTCCTGGCCAGGTCCTGGTTCTGCTTTGGGGCTCAGAAGCTTTAGGCATCCTTTCCCTCCCAAGGGGAAAGTGGGTCTCTCTTCAAAGAAAAAAAAAAATCTCAGTCCTCCCTCTGATTGGCTCTCACCAGGTCACATGCCCATTCTTCCACCAATCCTGTGTCCAGGCTGGGTCTCAGGGCTACCCCTTGCTGCAGGGGCAGAGGAAGGTCCATTCAAGGTAGAGAGGGACTGATATCAGACGGGGGAGATTTCCCGGGGAAAAATTGCAGTGCTGATTCTTCCAGAAGACATGTGTTCAACATCTGGTGGTTTCTGCCTTCCAGTTAACCTAGTTTAAGGAGAGGCTGTCATCAGGAATTAGAATAATGATAATGGTAATAATAAATAATAATAATGGCAACGTTTATTGAGCACTCATTATGTGCTAGGCATGATGTCAGCTGTTTTCTGTGTGTTATCCTATTTACTCTTCACAACAGCCCATCTTTATTCCTTATCTTCATTCCAGTTCTCTGAGAGTTTAAGGAATTGGCCCAAGTTCATACAGAAAGTAAGGAGTAGAATTAGCCAGTCATTTTCCAAATCCTGAACTCTCAGCTTCTCCAGAAACGACACTGAAAGCTGGTCTGTCAGAATGGCCGGCTGGGTGCCAAAGAGGAAGCCCTGAGCCTCCTCAAAGGCCACCTTTCGAGGCTAACCAGTGTGGGATGGCAGATATCAGCCGGATGCTCATTTAGAGTCATTTATGATCCGCAGAGGGCTTATCCTGGAGCAGTGCCTGGATACAGGGAGGTTTGACAAGGGAAGTCCAAGCCAAGAATGATTGTGGAACCAGGGGCCAGGATTCTTTGGTGCCCATGCCTCCCCATCCACCAGGAATGGTGGCCAAAGAGTATACCATGAAGGGAGGGGATCCTGTTCTGCCACTAACCAGTTGTCTATATCCTCAAACAAACTCCCTCAATGTCTATGAGCCTCAGTTTCCATATCCATTAAATGGACATAATAGCATCTTTCTCAGAGAGTTGTGAGAATCCCCTCTCCTCTTTCTTTCTTTTTTGTGCTGGGGTAATAAAATAAAACCCACCCATCACCCAGATTTCAGTGCCTCCAGTCATGTTCTCTCCCTCCCACACCACCCCTCTTCTCCCCCTTGCATGGACATAGCAAGAGAAAGAAGGGACAGGAAAGCACCTGTTGCCCTCTTCAGCCAGCCTGCGGGGCTTTCCTTCCTCTTCCTCCTCTGCCCAGCACCCATAGCTGCCATAACCCAAATGAGCACTGTACATGTGCTTCCTGGGTTTGAACCCAGCTCAGCCACCCTCTTTCCTAGCCTTGTGGCGCTAAGTCCCTCTACCTGGCCTCAGGTGAAGAACACACCTCCCACAGAAGGTCTCATGAAAACCCCTGGTTTGTCAAGCCTGGCAAGTGGCTTGTTTATTCTTTGAAACTGAAATGGTGAAGGGAACTCTGGGTGGGTCAGACTGCTCTGGGCAGGACCCGAGCTGGTCTGGTCAGTAGAGGGGCCCTCTCCTCTCGACTTCCCATCTCCTGAATAATTCATGACAAACAAAATGGCTGGGCCAGACCTGGGCCGTCCCTCCTCCTGCCAGGGAAGGGAGAAAAGTTTCTAATTACAGATCAGCACGGGCCAGGCTCCCCGGCCCCTGGGCGCAGCACACAGGGGGTATTTATGGGCAGAGACGGGAAGGGGAGGGGTTGGGTCCCAGCCCCTTTCCAGAAGGAGTTCAGCTCCTTTTGAAATTGTAACCTTGGCCTGCCAAAGCTCGGGAGGGACTGGGGAAAGAAACCTAGAACAGCAGGAAGAGAAAACCCTGTGGGAGGGGTCAGAGAGAAGTGTCCAGAAAAAAAAAATGCGAGGTCAGGAAGGGAACCTGGGGAGACCTGGCAAGCAGAACTGACTGGACATGGAGGGAAGAGATTTTTGCCAAAGTCTCATTGAGCATGGCAAAGCCGAGCTTCCAAAGGGGGGATGTCCTGGCTCCTGAACTACACACAGTCTCTCAGCTCCATTACAATTTTCTCATCTGTAAAATGGGGAGAAACTTCATACCTTTCTTAGAGACTCTTTGGGAAGTTACATGAGTTAATGCATGTAAAGTGCCCATCGGAATGCCCCCTGCACACATACACTACCATATGTATATATGTCAGCAGTCATTTGTTTTTTGGTTGTTAAGTCAGTAAAAAGGTAAGATGACAAGAACAGATACAAGAAGAAAGTGGAGAGGAGAAAAAGTACCTGTGAAGAAACTTAGTATAGTGATTAAGATTAAGAACTCCCTTTCAGGATTGTTGGCATGGCCCATGATCCAGCCTCTCAGGAGGCCAAGGCAGGAGGATCACAAGTTCAAGGCCAACATGGGCAACTTGGTGAGACCCTGTTTCAAAACAGAAAATAAAGGGCTGGGGCTGTAGCTCAGTGGTACAGCACCCATGGGTTCAGTCTCCAGCACTAGTCTGCCTGAGTTCAAATCCCAACTCTGCCTCTTACTAGCTTCGTAATCTTGGCCAAATTACTAAACTTTTCCTAGCTTCCACTTACTATCTTTAGTAAATGGTAGTCATCGTGACTGGTGAAAAGTGGGGAACAAGATGAACAAGGTCCCTGTTCTCATTGGAACTTACAGTCTAGCAACAATGATTATCCTAATGGGGGCATTTGTTGCACATCTACTATGAGCAAGTCCTATACCCCCTGAAGACATCCCCTCCACTAACTCTCATGGCATGTACCCCCATTTTATGGATAAAAGGCTGAGGCTC